GTTAAGCTCTCTGTTAAAGTCTTCACGAGTACTGAAAAAGTCCAGGGTATTGAACTCATTAGAGATTTGGGAAGCTCTGGACATGAAAGTATTCGAACCATAGTTAGTCCAGTCCAGTGGATCTTTCCTGAGATGGTAGTGGAAGAGCGCGTGCCCTGATAGGGCATGAAGTCCAATTCTGGGATAATAAATACATGGAATCGTTGTGAGAGCTTAGTATTTTGAAAAATGTTATTAAATCACTTTGATTTCGTCTGGCGGCAGGTTGAAGCGTCAGTAGAGGTCATCATAGTTGTAGATTTAATTTTCGGGAGGAGGAATCCCTGCCTTGAAGGCCAAGTACCATACAAATTTACGCTGCATCTGTTCCAAGGCGATGATGAGGACAGAATACATAGATGACCAAACCGAGGAGCAGTACTTCAAGATAGGCCTTATCATTGTGCAGTAGAGAAGCCTGATAGAAGAGATGTTAGTCCCTTGAACACCTTTTAACTTTTAACAAAGCCCAGAAGTTTAAGACACCTGGTAGCAATATCCGAAATGTGGCTGGAGAAGCTTAAGATATTATCTTTGACTTTTGGAGAAAACGATAGCTTTCCTTCTAGAGGCATTGAGTTCCATGCCACTTGTGATACACCATTCGGAAAGTCTATCCAAGTCAGAATGTAGTCTGGCACAGTCTTCGTGGGAGGAGACTGGGCAAAGCACAAAAACTCACAATTAATGAGACAAGAACCAATATCGTTGATGAAAATATTGAATAGCAAGGGTCCCAGGTGAGATCCTTGTGGTACACCTGAAGGGATGTCAATAGGCTGTGAGCAGAAGTTGATGATTTTTACTGTTGGGATTCTGTTCCTCAGGTAGTCGCTGATCTACGCAAGCAGAGTACCAGATATTCAAATTCTCTCAAGCCTTGCAAGTAGGACGTTGTGGTTGACACGGTCGAAGACTTTAGCAAAATCGGTATATATGGAGTAAGCAACTCCATCGTTTTCAAGAATCCCTGAGATTTTATCCTGGTACGTCAGGTTAGTTTCGGTGGAACACTTTGGCTGAAAACCTGCTCGATGTTTGATTAGGCAAGGGGTTGATGATAGGAGTTAAGAATTTAGTTACTATATTCTCAAAGACCTTAGGGATAGTGCTAAGGATACTGATAAGCCTGCATTTGGTAATGTCTATTTCGTCAATGGTCTTATGGTTGGGCGTGATAAAACTCGGCTTCCAAATTTTAGGAAATACCCCACTACTTAGTGATTCATTGAACAAAATAAACAGAGGACGAGATAGTATAAAGCTACACCTGCTGTGGATCAAAGGGGGGATGCCATCCGGGCCAGGTTCCAGAAATTATTTGGATTTTTATCTCTAAAGGCCGTTTTACAGCTTGCAATTCTTTCTGCAATATGCAAGAAACTTGAACGAGGGCATGCGCAGAAGTGAGTTAGCTGATTGGTTTCTGCAAGATTCTCGAAACTTGAATGGCATTGCATGCAATCGGTTTGGTGCCATTTTTCTTGAAGGTTTTCGTGCAAGCTGGAGAATTTTTAGCAATTATGATGCCTAAAGTTGCTGCTATTGCTTTCTTCTTTTTATATAGACTTATAATCACTTTTTTTATTTTTGGAAAATGCAAACATCAACAACACAACGTTAAAAACAAAAAAGTACGGATAAGGTTAGAGAAAGAAACAAGTCAAATTGCAAGGTGTCTCTTGAATGCAATTTTTTTGCATGCAATAAATGGCATTCAAGTTTTCTTGCAAGCTGTAAAACGGCCTTAAGCAATGACACCTTTGAGAATATGACATAATTTGTATAGCAATCTTTGGAAAGAGTCTAACACTGAGCCCGAAGGTGTGAAAATTCAACATAGTCAGCATGGGAACCCGTTTGCTTCCAAGTTCTGTGGAAACTTTACTTCTCAATTATCAGGTCCTTTGGTTCAAGAGAGAACCATAGTGGAAATTTATGGCTTGATTGCTTCTTCTTTGTTACACAACAATCGATAGCCATATAGAGAACGTCATAGAAAATTCTGGTCATTGCCGTCACATCGAGGCCCCGGAGTAAGTCGTTCCAGCAAACCATCCCAAGGTTATCGTTGAGAAGTGTATAATCAGCAGACCCAAAATCATAATGCTATGCAGAACTGAAACTGTCACTATCCTAGTGAGCCTTGGCTAAATGATGATGAAGATGGCGTCATGGCGGCTACCATCGTGTCAAGAATACAAGATTGAGGTTATGGTCAGATTTTTGTAGTGAAACCCGCTTTGCTTATCTACTTGCCTGCTCTGTGAGCGTACCGACTTGCCTTCAAAAGCCAGTTTTCCAAGCTAGTGGATTGTTTTTCTATCTCTATATGATGTTGAAATATACGGAACGACCCTGTACATATTTCATTTCCATTTTGGATAAATTTTTTTTCTCACCCACGTGTTGTGCTACATAATAAATAATTAAAACGCCATCGGCCACGGATTTTTTTTTCCGTAGCAAAACCATAAAGAAGCCGACTAACCAACCGAACCGGAGCAATGTTTTACGAATTTTCCAACGTTTTCAACATGTTGCCGGAAACCGCCTCTTTAAATTAACCCGCGTGCACTTAACTGTTTTTATCTGGGCAAAACAAAATAAACGAGAACGACGTCATTTTTTTTTTGCATTGCGAAAGGGACACACCACGTTTGTTCCAGAAATATGTTATATATTTTTTTCTTTTGAAACATGTTTCTGAGTCGCGGAACCATGATGCAATTTGAAACATACTCTTTTTAGTTATTAAATTAACTCGGTTTACACGAAATATTCATTTTCTCCTATTCATCCTCTATTGCCTTTGACAGCTGACTATCGACATATTCTCGCTTGAACTTAAGCCAAACTCAATACGTGCCGGTGTCATTGTCAATGTCACGATTCGCGTTTGTCTCGAGAGCTCCTTATTAGCCACTTGTCTCGTCGCTTCAGGGTCTCGGTTTGCGTAAATGCGACCTGTCGGACCGGAAAACGAGATTTTCTTTTGTTTTCGGCACTACTCTGTATCTGAGTAAAGATACAGCTAACGTTATATCAATGTTGGAGTGGAGTTAATATATGAACAATTTTTAGTCAGGTAATGGTTGCTGCTACTTTGAGATATTACTTGAATAATTAATTGTAGAAGAACTTTTCTTTTCGAGTGTGTTCATAAAGGATATTTTCTTTATTGGCCTATAGAAGTAAAAACTAAGTATGCTAATTATGATGGGGTGATCTTGTTTATGTTTATATAAAGACGGAGTGGTTTTTCTTATGAGTAAGAGGCGTCAGTCTTGCGTTAGCGTTCTAGACATCTGGGCCCGTATTCTCGTCACCGGGGAACAGCGTTCTCTCAAGAGAACGATGTCTCAGTCACCCATATAATACTGACAAAGACAGTTATCCTTTACCAAGAGTGGGCGACCATTTAGAGATTTTAAAGGGATGCAAGTATTTTACGACCTTGAACATGGCGAGCGGCTACCACCAAATACCAATGGCGGAGAAATCCCGAAAACGAAAAAAAAACAGCATTCTTAACTCCTGATGGTCACTATACGAATATTTAAGGATGCCATTCGGATCAGTAAATGCTCCAGCGGTGTTTCAACGGACGATTAACCAGATTCTAGGCTCCATGAGATTTTCTACTGCCTTAGCATACATGGTTGACATCTTGGTTCCTTCTCCTAGTGTTGCATCTGGGTTGGTTGCTCTTGGGGATGTACACCTTCCGAAATCCAGGTGTCACTTTGCGACTATCAAAATGTAATTTCTTTAGATTTTTTTTTCAAATATATCTTTTCTAATTATTGTTGTTGAGCTAATACATCATTTTTTTTTATCTCAATTATTTAATCGTTACATAATATTCTGGATGTGACTCAATACTCGCTAATCCCGGTCGAACTGCATGAAATTTTGAAGCCAAATCCAAAGGATCATCAATTCCAAAACCCTAATGATTCAAATCAGTTATCTATAAAAAAACGTTTTTTCTTTTGTGGCTAATTTTTCAATTAGACAAATAAGCTGGCCATATCGGACAGTGACATATGGTATATGTATTATTTTTCCAACGCCTTCGCGTGTCTGCGTGCCCTCGGTTAATTTGTTATCCTCCACCGGGTCGGTCTCTATCTCGAAATCGGGGGGAAAAGTTTCCCCGGTTAGAGAAAAACCTAATACATACATACTCACATGAGTTAATTTCATTTGGACTAAATTTATGACTAAAAATTTAATCAAGAAAAATCCACTAATCCAATTTTAAACTCCTCTCAATATAAAATTAATTCATTACCCAGGAACCTCCTTTCTAGAAAGTCCGTTATAATTAAAAAGACTTCCTTAAGTAAACGGAGCTTTTCTGCTGCAACCGTCTTTCACAATTGAACTGAGCCTGTGCAAATATTGAACATCAAAGTCTTTTGTTGAATCGTAAATATTTAATGGAAATTTTAATTTATTTAATTTCGGAAGATGACTCGAGGAAAGTTTTCTTCTGGGATTAAGGGCTCGAAGTTTTGTTTTGAAACTGAAAACATGACGGAGAGTATACAAATCGATTTTAAGATGCTAATATCCGGTAAATTGCTATATAGAACAAAAAAGGGAATGTGAAAGTAGTGAAATAGTTGTAATATAAAGAATTATTTTCCTTAGGTTAAGGTACATCTAATTAAACACTCGATTAAAATGGGTATTGAGCAAACTAAAAAACTTCCCGGATTTTAATTAACCCTCCGCGATCTTTAATTTCGAAATGAAAAAGAAATTAAAACTTGGACCCTCACGCAACGCGGAAAAAAAACTTTCTTTCTCAACAATCCTAATTAGAAAGTACAACAGACAAGTTGATTGGGGCGCAGTGAAAATTTCAAGAGGGCCTAATGAAATAAAGACCAAAGGACCGAAAGCTAGATCAAATAAATTTTAATTAGGTTATTTTTTTTTTTTTGTTTCAGGTTGATACCCCAGATAGTGTCCTGCAGTCGGGTCTAGGGCTAACCGACTTAAATCAACATGCAATACTACGATCGATGGTGGATCCTATGGATTATGACAGGCTGAGACATCTACAAATGAATGGCGGTGCTCCTAGTTCATTTGAAGAAACTATTTATAAGGTAAGTAGAAATATTATCGTGAAATTTTCTCATTTTCCATCTTAGAATCGGAGACAGATCCCTATTCAAGCTAAGGAAAGTAGATAAACTTTTACGAGGCCTCGTCATCCCCAATGACCGTCTGGGGAATTTTAAGTGGCCATCGGGAAACACCGAAATTCCCGTAAATGTATCACGTGACTGATCTCTGAGTTTCGGGAATAAGTGCTGACCGAAATTGATGGGAGATTTGATTAAAGTTTTTTAACGTCATCAGGGGGTTAATTAAGAATAAATTTGAATTATTGTGTTTTTCAAATTCAAAGTATATGTTTAAGACGTATATGTAGTAAAAGACCTTCAGAATTAGGGCTTTAATTAGCTAAAATTCAGTACAGATTATTCTGACAATAACTGATAATATGACATACAACATAACAGGTAAATAAATAGGTAACACAGTAAATAAGGTGATGAGGTATGTACAATATTCTTCCTCGCTCAGTTTCTGACATAATCTTGAAAATATGAAGGTGGCCTATGATTTCTCTTCACCATAACACGACCGACCTCATCAGTAGGTTTCACTGGAGATACAGCTGGAGGATTTTCATTTTGAGATTGTTTTGGGGAAAGGAACCATTAGAATCATTTATAGGGAACGAAGATGAACGTACTGAACTGACTGATGTAAGGTTTTCTTTAGGAATAGTTAACTCATTCAAATCTTATTCCGGCAGTTTTAAGGCGGGCCCGCTGTTATTGATTAGAATTTTATAAAAAGGAGATAATATCATCGACTCTAGTTGGCAAATCCAATTAATAAATAATCTGAGGTTATGATGGTTGTTGTTTACTTTTTGATTTTTCTATGTTTCCTATTCTGTCTAGGCGTTTTCTTTAAGACCTGTTCTACCTTTTTGATATAAGTTCTATAGGCAATTTTCAGCAGTCACCAGTTGAGTCTTTTATGTGCAACCCACTCTTCGGTTCGTATTTTTGGGATGAAACTTAACACGCCCTTTTCTTAATTTTCATCAATGTCAAAATCAAAAGTTTGACGTTGGAAGCCTCCTTTTCAAATTTAAGAGGAAGAATCTGCCCTTTTGATTTTGAGACATCATGGTGTGTGGTCGGTCTTGGCCTGATTGTTTTTAGGCAAGACTTTTTGGAATTTTGTGCCAGGGAAACTCAAGCTAGACTAATTTCTTGTTGATCATTGTCTAGAGTTGTCTTTTGGTCATTTCGGATTTTGTTTCGGTAAGTTTTGAGATTTTCTTCAGGAATTATTAACCTACAACACGTGTTTCATTTCTTCAATAGGATCGTTCCGAGCAGCTTTTGGAAGTTTAAGGCTTCACTTTTGGCCAAGAGTATCCCTCAGTTAGAGGTAAGATTATTTCCAATGTTTGGGACTCGATCTGTTTTTTTATACAAACATCATTATAGGGTTCTAGGCTGTATCTAGACAGATCCTAGGCAGGATTTAGACTGGACCTAGGCTAGATCTAGATTGCTCTTAGTTGGGGCTTTGGTAGCTCCTTTTCACCAAACTTTTTGGTACCACGCTGATAGAACCACGTTGAGTTCTACGTTTATCTAATAAAACGTGGGTAGGACTTCCATAGGACTCACTCACCATACCATAGTCTGGAACAAACTTAGAACTGCTAACTGCTTCTGTCTGGATCTACAGTGACACCAAACATGTAGATAATCCCACTTTGGGAACTTCTGAGTTTTCACATACACTTGAAGATAACACTTGTATACATGTAACTTGCACTTCTTACTATTTAGGCAAATCTTACATAAATCACTTGACACTGAATTACGTTCAGTACATGCCCCTTTAATAATGACATCATTAAGTAATCTTCCTAGTTAAGTCACAATTAACTTGGTGGCGCCCAGAGATAAGATGTATACAAGGAACCTATAAACCCATGGCCTCCGAATTGATGCTGACTAGCCGTACGCAGTATAATTAGGCAATTACCAAAAAAGAACGTTATACTTATTGGCGCCCAACGTGGGGCTCTGGTCAAGTCCTGGCTTTGCCAAAATGGTTTTGTTTTATTTTATTTTTTTTGGACCCCTTGTTTTCGGTGTGTGAGGTCAGTGGTGGAGTGAGCGTATGGCGTGTGATAACTTGGCAGTGGAATCATACTGGAGACTCCAACGACCCACCCTTTAACATCCACGTTGGGTAGGAATCTTCAGTGCCATTGACTTGTTGTTACGGACCTTGCGTTTTCTCTCTCACTGGTCGAGCACACTGAAACATTGTAAGTTAGGAAAAGTTTAAGCTTTTTTGTTGTGCCGTTTGTGGTTTGTGGTTAATGAGAAATCTTCCAGCTTTCTTATTTCTTTTCGGAAGGGGGGAGAATCTAATAAAAGATCTTGCCATTGTCTTAAGTCGAGGTTTCTAGATTTAATCCCAAGTAAAATAGTCTTCCTGATTGTTCCATTAAATCTTTCACATTGTCCATTTCACTCCGGGTTGCATATATATTAGTCTTTCATTATGTATGATATTGTTAATTATACGTTGAAAGCAGGCTACTCTATTTGTAACGCCAAATGGAAGTCTTTTGAATTGATACAAGTTGTTACATGCTTCAAAGAAGGTTCATACTTTAGACATCGAAGACGTCATAACTTGAAAATCTTGAATTAATTTTTCACAAGGTATACCTAATTCAGTTAACATACGTGACAACCATATACCTTCTTTGGTAGCACAAGCAGCACTAACAAACTCTGCTTCGGTCGTGGACAAAACAACACACTGTTGTTTCCTGATTTTCCAAATGACTGCTGCATTTTCAAATTTGCAGAGGATTTCAGAGGTTCATTTTCTGGTCTGGATATCACCTGTATAGCTGTGTGTATAGTCTGCATCACCACTGGGTTGATATAATAGACCCAATGTTCTCGTACCTTGCAGGTAGCGAAAAATTCGCTTCACTAATGACCAATGTGCTAGTGTGGGTTTGTCCAAGTTTCAGCTACTATATTCACTACAGTTGATATATCTGAATCTCTATTCTTGAAACAGAGGAGCAACGTTCCCAGGAGAACGAGTGTTCCATCTTTCTCAATGATATGCAAATGATAACATAAGTAACAAAGACGGAACACTCGTTCTCCTGGGAACGCTGCTCCCCTGTTTCAAGAATAAGAACTCTGGACGGGTGACAATTTGCAGATACATGAGATTTCCTACAGCTTCTCTGTACAGTACATCTTCTACACATTTACTTGAGTCATTAGCTTTGCACCAACCAACGTCAATTGGTGTTGACACCGGTTTACAGTATTGCATATTGAACCACTTCAATATTTTATTGACATAAGCACTTTGATTCAAGAAGACAGATCCGTCATTTTGGAAGAATGACAGATTGCATGTCTTGCTGGACATTTATCTCTAGAGTGTTTCTTCCACAAAAATAACATTTTGAATTAATCACGGCAAGTGTTGTATCCTTTCGTTGATTTAATTGTTGAACATAAGTCGATGATTTTTATAATCACCATACAGTATTCACAAATACAAGAATTTAAAGATGGAGCAGCTATTTAGATTCGTAGGAAGCAATTGTGTGTCATAATATTGACAATCATATTTAAATAAATATACGCCACTGTCAGACCGGAAACACTAGTCGGCCATATGCAACCTCCACATCACACATATTCTGGTAGCGCAGATTCGAGGTTATGCTCCTTCCTGTAGTTTTTATGGCAACTGTTTCTATGTAGGAAATAGATTCACTAATAGACTGATAAACTGAATAACACACATACTTTACTAGAAGGTTTAATTTGTCCTTGTCTTCTGAAATTTTTGCATCTCCTAAAAAGTCCTTAAACGTTCGTTTCCAATGGTTCCATAACTCGTTAGCGTTGCTTGAATGTGTGTCAATTTCTAATCGATCTGGCTTGAATAATTTGTCCATTGATTAATTTAGCTTATTAAACTGTAGTGAAAGATCTTCAGAATTAAGGCTTCAATAAGCTTAAAATCAGTATAGATCATTCTGACAATCATAGCTGACAATAACTGACAACATGACATACAACATAACAGGTAAATAAATAGGAAACAGTAAATAAGGTAATGAGATATACAACAATATTGGCCATTTTTGAATAGTTAAACCTACGGAATATCTCTATTCATAGAAATGATGCTGTCCATCCAATTTTCTCACTTCACACAAAAGAATAAGATCAGTAGAGTGTTTTCACAACTATCAGACCAATACCCACCTCTACCACGTAAAAACCCCCCTCCAGCCCTCGACTATCAGACCAATACATACCCACCTCTACTAAGTAAATGGTCCACCAGCTTCACAAATTTTGGGGTTGGCCCGGGTCAAATTCCCAAAATTTCAGATCAAAGGCGCTGCCGATCTAGAGATTTTCCCACGGTATCGAAAAAGCTCCCACGGTATCGAAAAAGTTCCCACGGTTGGCCCGGGTCAAATTTCCAAAATTTCAAATCAAAGGCGCCGCCGATGTAGAGATTTTCCCACAGTATCGAAAAAGTTCCCACGGTATCGAAAAAGTTCCCACGGTATCGAAAAAGTTCCCACGGCATCGAAAAAGTTCCCACGGTTGCCCAAGTCAAATTCCCAAAATTTCAGATCAAAGGCAACCGATCTAGAGATTTTCCCACGGTATCGAAAAAGTTCTCACGCTCAAGTGCCTTCAGCTATCAGACCGATACCCACCTCACAGCTAACAAAGCAATACCCACCTCTACTACGTTAAAAAGCTGAAGAGGTACCTCTTTCCATACCCCTTCACTTTCTTGAAACCTAAGGAATATTTGACCAATTCTTCTATTTGTATTCGTCAATAGTGTTCTAAACTCCATAGGATGTAGAAGCTCTTGAAAGGAATCAAAATTAAAAGCAGACAGCTAGAGGACCCTATCAAAGTTATATTGCAAAAATAGTAGTTGAATAGAGTTATTGACAACACTTGAAAAACTCAAAAATGAATTGTTATTCCTCTATAGACAATGTTCCAGCTCATATGAATGGTGAAAAATTACTCTCAGATTTTACAAGCGAAGAACTATTGAGAATTTCGTTGGATTATTTATTGAAACATGCAAAGTCCTTTGAACTTTTAGATGCATGGGGTAAATTACCAATAAGTTACAAAAATAAATTCCTTCTACAAATTAAGCTACCATGCTTTATCCATTACAACAGAGATCAATGGAAAACTAATTTTGATGGTCCACCAGATTGACAAGCAATTATAAGATAAAATTGAAGACATATACGGAGTAGTTAATACTTTCAATGCATGGGCTACGTAAATCAAAATATTACTAAATTTAAACATGTGAAACATTTCAATAACTTAAAAATCAATTTTATCAGATTAAGCTTTTATTTTTAATCAAAGGGAGTGATGAAATACTACTCATTAGATATAAAATTAATGAAAATTCTGTCGAGGAAAAAATCACAAAGAAATAGAAAAAGGCAGTCATACCTAAAGAAATTGTGTATTTTGGAGGAAGAAATCTTTTGACCTTTATGTTTACTAGATGGTTAAATATTTAAGAAATTAATGATCTTTTACTTACTAATATAGTGTCGCGAGTGACTAAAAAATTCAACACCACAATGTATTCTTCTTCAATATTCCAGTTTATTACTTCGCTCTTTGAATTTAAACCATCCCCTAGTAGCGCATTTTGTCCTAACGCCGCTTAGGCAATCTCACTTACCCTTCTTACAGTTCAATCCCCAAAGGTATACGCACGTTCAACGTGCCGCAACAACAACACGGCAACTTTTTCCTATCCGGGCCCCATAAACCCCGATCCTTGGGCTCGTAAAACTATCCCGTAATAAAACCTGGCTGCAAGAAGAAATCCCTCCGATCCCGCAGGGAATACGTTGGCAAAGTTCGGATTAAAAAGTCGAGCTAGCCAACCCTGTCCCGACCGGCCCGCTATGGCGACGAGTTGATTTACACCTTATTTTGGTCAGAAAATGGCAATATGTTTTGAAACACAAACTTTCGATGCAAAGAAAAGAGTAAGATGCCAGGTTCATTTATATTGATACTGTTTCTTATGGAAAAAAAACTCTTTTCCAGACTAATTTAAGGTAGACCCTCTTACGCAATTAAATTTACCTAAATTTACCCAGGCCGCCTTCGGCCGGCACTAATTTCAACTTGATAAATGTGGCTGTCGCCCATTTTTCTAATGGTTTTTTTCTTTTTTTTGCAGCTCAAGGTCCAGGAGGCACTCAGGAAGCGAGAGAAATTCACCAAGGAACACGAGGAGGTAAGAGAACGTAGTATTTTTTTTTTGGGAGAGTTTTTAGATATAATTAGAGAGGAAGTTTCTGGTCATAATTCTTAGGTGGATAACACACCGTTTGAATTTTTTATTGGACAGAGTCTTATCCAATGCATTCTCTTCCCGCAACGGCCTAGGTGGAAACCAGGACTGAGAAAAACGACGAACAAAATTTACGAGCCAAATAAGGCAATCGCATTTATTCTAGCCCCCACTTAAGTAAATGATGACTTGTTCTATTTGAATAAAATTCCGCGCTCTGGCGGTTTTATTACCTTTCAACGTAGTGTGTGTGTGTGTGTGTGGGCGCCAAGTGAATTTACATGAAACTTTGTTTTCATTGCTTGTTAGGTCTTTCAAAGGTGCTGCTGAAGTCATGGAGAAATTATGTGCACCTAAAAAACTTCCTAATTTCACAAAACCCAATAATTCCGGAATTTGAAATAAAACTTTGATGGTTATTGTGGAATAAGTTTCCACTTCTTTATCCTAAAGAGTGTATCATCTATCAATAGGCCTTCGAGCACAAATCCAATCAACTTATCCTAAGCGACTTAGAAGTCAGAGTCCACTTCTCAACGTACCAGAAGTCAGAAAAAGCAAATTCAAAACAACTTTACAGAGTCTCAGATGCCAGCAAAAGTCCATAAACAAAAAGAACTAAACTTGGCCCTCCTTCTCTCAGTTTTTCCTTGATATCTACCAATTTTAGAATATATGACACACATTTTTATAATTCAATCTAATTCATATTAATTGATTCTAGATTCTACGAGATATAAAACAGGGTTTACTACAGTTAGGAAAAGAAGGTATTAGAGGTCCAATGACTACAACAGGTATAGAAAAATGAAATAGGTAAATTACCAATAAAAATTTAAAAACTATTTTACAGATGATACATATATGTACGATGATGACATAAGAATGTTAGCTCCAGCGGGTGTAGCGCATCCTCACGATCCTCGATTAGGTCACTGGTACGATGAACCGCCGTACGAAAGTGATCCGGAAGATTTTTTAATGGGAGGAGGCGGACAGGCGACAATACAGAACGGTCGAGTGTGTTTTACACTGAACGTACGTCCAGAGCAAAAAAATGGCGAGGGAGTGATATCCTTACGGAGTGCAGGTGACATTTCTCTACCTACCGCACATTGTCAAACCCCTAGAAGAGGTCTGATTTTGCCTAGAGAGGCTGGATATCCACCAACAATCATTCCATTAAGGTATTTTGCCCTTCATTCATTGATGATTGTTATATTAATTTTTCATATAGGTCTTCCAAAGAAAGAGAAAGCGGAGATTATGCAAGCTCTGACGTCCAAAGCGTCAGTTCTAGATTATCTACACTGTCCATGGACACAAGTAGATCTGAACTACTTGAGATGACTAGTATGATATCTCCACAGTATTATACTCCATTGGAGACTAACAAAAATAGGCATTTCAGGTAAAAGATTTCCAAGTTATTTGATAAAATATCCACTTATTGTAATTTCCAGGCGAAACCCCAATTATCCAAGAAGTGAAGACGGCCTGTCACCGGGTCAAAGTTCAGATTACGAAGATCAAGATGAGTTCAGTAACTGTAGTCAGCAACAAGTCGCTACCGTCCATGTGGTAAGTTTTATGGGATTTTTTGAAGCACCAGTATTATGTGAGTTTTTCTTCAGTCCAGCGATGGAAGATCTTCCGGTGTTGCCGGCTTAGTAGGAAAAGTACGAGGCCTGAGAGAGGACGTCCAACGAAAAATATCGAGGCTGAAAGGTGAAGAACAACGAGCTAATCACGAACAAACTTTGACGTTTTCGGCTAGTTCGGTTGAGAGTTTGCCCAGTGGATCTGGATCGAGTGAGTTGATTTGAGGGAAATAATAATAATAGTTATATACAGAGGGTTATGTATGCGTTTCTAGTGTCTACACTGCATAATATGGATCTAAAATAATGGATATTTCTTTGATTTCACTAGGATGTTCATCTGAATCAGAGACATTTAGGGTTTCACTGGTTTCTGTTGTGTGATTCAGATGTGCTATCGTCTCTGCTTCTCGCTCTGCCTAGTATTTATTCTACTTTCCTTTTTCAAGTTCTTATTGCCTTGGATTCCTGACTTTTTCTCTTGTGTCTTTCTCAGGGGCATTCCCATAACTTTTAGTAGTCTATCGACAAACGTCCCTGCTTCTCTGAAAAGAACCAAATTAAAGTTGAGCCCTGAATAATCCCTTAATTATAGCGAATCGCAATTGCTATACCCTGAAGTGTGAAGAAATTCTGTGTCTTCTTTCGGCAAGTCGGATTCGAGAGAAGTTTCAAGATTCATGTTTTCATTTTTATAATCTACAACATTGTCATACTTTAGGTCTGTTCTCACAGCAATCACAAACCAGTCAGAGTGAATTTCATTGGAATCAGAAAACTGGTTGTTGGCGATTTGCACGAATCAAAAACGCTCCGACTGGTTTGTGATTTCTGCGAGAACAGACCCAAACTTCATCTTGTTCTTCTTCTTCTTCAAGTTCTAAACTCTCGGGTTCAGTTATTGGCTCAGTTATTGGGAAACTCATTGGGATATAAAATTCATTTCTTCAAATTGTCTAGCACTCAATGTTGCCTTAAACTCAGACTTAAAGGCAAATACATAACTGACCTGTACGCTGTATTGTTTAAAATGTATGATATGCGGTTTCTGGGTTAAAATAGTGATTACCACATGATTCTCAGCGATTGCCAATGGATTGCTATGTGATTTCCATGGAGTCCTAGGAGATTCCTAGCAATTCCTAGGTTATTCCCAGAGACTCCCAAGTAATGACTCCAATGTAATAACTAATTATGTTTAGCCAAGACGTCTGTTATAGTGAAATGCGCATCTTACCACTCAAATTATGAAATATGATAGGAATTGCAAAATAATTTTTATAGGTTAGATTACAGTTACTGTGAGCAAAACCTCTAAAATCTCCATTGAGGTGACAGTGATCTCTAATCTCTAACGATTTTATCACAATTCCTTTGCGAACCAAGACTGAACCCTTTCTACTCTTAGAGTAAGAAAACTCGTTGTTATAATTACACTTGAAGTAATACCCAGCACTGTATGCTACATCTACTGATTTTACAATGACTATTATTATTATTCATTGGCTCAATCAAAAATTCTACTATGTTAATATTAACAAACCATTAATTATATTCCAGGTACACAAGCATTGGTTAGAGCAGGTAGTAACCACAGTTCAATATCGACAGAAGAAGTCGACCCAAGTCCTACAGAAATCGTGGGACGTTGTAGAGCTTTAATCGATCAAAATCCTGGTCCATACGATAAAGAGACTTTAAAATTTAAGGTAACCTTCTACATTTTTACCCTAAATAAGTCAAACTGGTAATTTCTTTCGTTTTAGACTGGTGATATAATCGATATAGTCTCCATGAACCCATCGGGACAATGGAAGGGCGTATCACATGGGAAAAAAGGCACATTCAAGTTCATGAACGTAGAACTTTTAAGCGAGAGAACGGTGAAACACAAAAAAGATCAAAACTGGTTTAGAAACTTCAAAACACGGCCTGTGTCTGTTGAGGATCTGCTTCAAAAAATTGGCTTAGCCGAATATATTTCTGTGTTTGTTTTAAATGGCTACGAAGATTTGGAGTTATTCAAAGAAATTGAGCCCTCTGACATGGATTATTTGGGAATTGTCAATGGAGACCATAGAGCTAAGATACTAGCTGCAGTCCAGTGGCTTCATGAACTTGATTGTAAGATTCATATTTTGTTTATCAGTTAATTCGATTAATTTTTATTGTAGCTGGCAGCGACGTGGACATCGCAGGTTCTAGTAGTGAAAACGACGACCAAAGACAACAACGCGCCCCATTCGAGAGACGAAATTTATCGCGAGACTCCGGTTGTTATGACGGTCATAAGAGGACGCACACGTCACCTCAATCCGACGCGAGCGACATAGACAAAAACAACTTAGATTCCGTGGTAGAGCAATGCAACAACGAAATACTGGCGAGGGTAGGTGCGTTGCTTTTGAAACTTTCTGCTAATTTTAGTAGTTTGTCTATACAATCTTGAGTTTTACTTTAAATTTTGGTCGATCAGGTACGGCAAGCCCAAAAAAATCATCTCAAAGGCGAACCCATCTACGATTTGACTGTTCCACAGTTGGAGCGCAAAACAAAAGACTCTTATGTAACGATGCACGGTCAAACGTCATTGGTCGAACCCTCCAAGAAGAATGTGTTGAGTAGGAAGAAGATTGGTGAGGAATATTGCGAGGCTGATCAAAAATTTACTTCTGGTAAGAGGGAGCTTCAACATAACAAGAATGTTAAGTGTTGAGTAATTCTTGAATCATACATTCAATAAAATAATTTGGAAGTAGATAATATACTGTTTTTCTAGTGTATTTGTGACTTCTCTCCAATGTACAGGGTGGTCCAGTCTTGACAGTTTCTGAGCTAGATACAAAAAAAATGAATCCCCACTCTAAGTTTCAAATTTCATGAATTCTTCATTGGTGCGAACCCCAGTTCTAGAGTGTTCTGTAACATTTTAAATAGTTTCCAGAAACTTCTAAATTGAATGACAAACGAATTATGTGGGAAGTTATTGTAGACATCTTTGAAAAATTCCCTAAGATGTCCACAAGCGGGATTCAAGACCTGTTTTAGACATCTGCTCACGTGTTCAAGGCATCTTAAAGACATCTTCAACGAGATGTCTTACAGACGTCTTTGAATCTGTTTTTAATACATAAACCATTATTCATATTCAGTTGTATGCCCAGTTGTACCAAATAGTGTGGCCCAATTGTCTTTAAGATTTGAATTTACAATATCTTATGAGGTCCTCTAAACGTCTTTTTTTGGTCTTCAGACGTTCAGACTCAATGCAAACTCAAAAAAGACGTCTTCAAGACTTTGTTTGCTGTCTGGGTTTCAACCTTTTTGCCACTATAGAGGGTCTTTCTCGATTTTGAGCTTGACGTATGTGTCTCCTCAAATCATCTTTTTGTTTAAATTTTGCTTTACAAGTGTAACATTCGAAAGGATGAATATTTAAGTGTGTTAAAATGTGATCCTTTAAATTCTGTTTACATTTTAATTTTGTTTTGCAAGTGTCACATTCAGAAAGATGAATATCCGAGTGTGCCGACATGTGTATCCTCAAATAGCTTTTTTCTACTACCGTGCGTAAAGTACTCACTTTACGCACTATTCAGAGGACGTAAAATTTCTCTGCACGCACTAGTGCGTGAACTAATTCACTTCATACACTAGTGCGTAAAGTAATGTCAATGACAGACGTTGACACTGTCAAATTACTATTTTTCTGGTAAATTACTTCACGCACTGGTGCGTAAAGTCAAAATACTTTACGCACTAGTACGTAAATAATTTCTATAAATTTATTTTTTCCCACATATTTGATTGGTAGTTGACAAAAATTTGTAGGCAATACGTGCGTAAAGCACCTTTTTTCACTCATGCGATTGTCAAAATTCACATTCGTGGAAAAAGGTTCAGTTTACACATTTGTTGCATAAATAACTATTTTGTTTAAATATTGTTTTGCAATTGTTACATGCAAAAGGATAAATATCCGCGTCTGTTGATTGGTTCTTCTTCAAATCGTATTTTTGTTTGAATTTGCATTGCAAGTATCACAGGCGAAAGGATAAATATCCAAATGTGCTTGTTTGAGCCCTTTTTGTTTAAATTTTCCTTGACAAGTGTCACATACAAAGTTATGAATATCCGAGTGTGTCAACATGTGACTCTTCAAATAGCATTAGCGTTGTTGTTTAAATTTTGCTTTGCAAGTGTCACATTCAAAAGAATGAATATCCGAATGTGTCAACACGTGAGACTTCAAATCGGATTTTCGTTTACATTTTGCACTGCAAGTATCACATGCGAAAGGATAAGTATCCAAGTCTGTTAAAATGTGATCTTTAAATTGCCTTTTCCTGATCTTGATTCACGCATAAAACGTCAAATTCTCGAAGCAATGTCAAAAAAGAGCGAATTTCGCGGTTATGTACCGTACTCGATTCTCATTGGACCTGCTCTAAGCATTGGACGCTCACCTACATCCCACGAGTTGCGCGCAACAACATTTTCTTTCTCAGTGCTCTTGGCACAATTACTCGATGAGAGAATAGCAGAATTCCGTCCTCCATTGAAGTTTCATCACGCCAGTTGTAGTATGGCCTTACATTTTCGCTGATTTTACCTTTCCAACCTTTTTCGTTATAGGCCAACAGGCTTTCCAGGTTAGCGTCTAGGAGAGTTTCTTCTTTAATTTTGCTTTGCAAGTGTCACATTCAAAAGAATAAATATCCGAGTTTGTCAACATGTGAGACCAGTGGCGCACCCAGAAAATATGTTTGGGGGAGGCCCTACATAGGTTGTGGCTTTTGACTGAAAATCTAAAAAAAAAATTGAAGTGTCAGGGTGCCACGACCAAAATTTGCCACATTTTTTTATACGTAAAAATGCAGTTTTGAAGAAGAGATTTTTGAAATATCCAGAAACTTTTGAGTTTTAACACATGAACTAAAATTTGATTGAAAACAAACCAAAGATTGCGGAGTTACGAAATTTTTTTATCCCAGAGAGACACTGTGATATTTTTACAATACAGACTACTTATGGACTGATTTTTAATTTTTTTCCTAGAAATCTGGGAAACTTTGGAGAATGAAGAATTTTTTTATATATCCAGAAACTTTTTACCTTTTACATACCAAAATTTGATTGGAAAAAAACCAAAGATAGCAGAGCTACGATTTTTTAATCCCTAAGAGACATTAAGTGATAAACAGATTATGTCCTGATTTTTTTCCAGGAACAATGGCGCACCCAGAAAATATATTTGGGGGGAGGGAGGCCCTACATAGGTTGTGGCTTGTGACTGAAAATCTAAAAAAAAAAAAATTGAGGCGTCAGGGTAACACGCCCTGAATTTGCTACATTTTTTTATACCTACGTAAAAATAAAGTATTGCAGTGGCGGCCTGGGGGGGGGGCCTGGCCCGATGCCTCCTCCTCCTGGGTGAGCCACCTCTATGAGACTTCAAATCGGATTTTCATTTACATTTTGCACTGCAAGTATCACATGCGAAAGGATAAGTATCCAAGTCTGTTAAAATGTGATTTTTAAATTGCCTTTTCTTTTAAATTTTACTTGACAAGTGTCACATTTAAAGGAATGAGAATCCGAGTGTGTCAACATATGAAATTTCAAATAGCGTTTTTGTTTAAATTTCGCTTTGCAAGTGTCACATTGAAACGGATCAATAAGGTTTATATTGTCTATAGAATTCTTTTACTTTGTTCATTAACACATCAAATATTTAAAAAAACAAGTGTGACCTTCCATTAAAATCCCACATTACCTATTGTGATTTCAGAGTCTAATAATTATAAATCAAATTTTTTTTGTAGGTTTATGGTAAATAATGACTGTTTAGAGAAGATGACGCTGAAAATGATATAAAAGTCTCAGACATTGAATTAATAGACCCAAATAAAGGAATATTTATAAAAGATGAGAAATATTCAAATGTCGCTAATTTATCACGAACAGATGTTATTCACGTGGCTAAGAAAAATGTTTGATGTAACATATGCGATGCCATATTTAAAAGCAAGGAAGCTTTGAAAACACATTTAATGACACATTTGGTTATTGATCCGTTTGAATATGTCACTTGCAAAGCGAAATTTAAACAAAAACGCTATTTGAAATTTCACATGTTGACACACTCGGATTCTCATCCCATTGAATGTGACACTTGCCAAGTAAAATTTAAAAGAAAAGGCAATTTAAAGGACCACATTTAAACACACGTGGATACTTATCCTTTCGCATGTGATACTTGCAATTCAAAATTTAAACGAAAATTCGATTTGAAGCCTCACATGTTGACACACTCGGATATTCATTCTTTTGAATGTGATACTTGCAAAGCAAAATTTAAACAACAACACTAACGCTATTTGAAGAGTCACATGTTGACACACTCGGATATTCATCCCTTTGTATGTGACACTTGTCAAGCAAAATTTTAACGAAAAGTGCTTAAACAAGCACATTTCAGCACATTTCGATATTTATCCTTTCGCCTGTGATACTTGCAATGCAAAATTCAAACAAAAATACGATTTGAAGAAGAACCAATTAACACACTCGGATATTTATCCTTTTGCATGTAACAATTGCAAAACAAAATTTAAAAAAAAAAGCCATTTGAGAATACACATGTCGACACACTCGAATATTCATCCTTTTGAATGTGACACTTGCAAAGAAAAATTCAAACGTAAATAGAATTCAAAGGATCACATTTTAACACACTTAAATATTCATCCTTTCGAATGTTACACTTGTGAAGCAAAATTTAAACAAAAAGATAATTTGAGGAGATACATATTAACACACTGAAATATTTTTCCTTTTGAATGTACCACTTGCAAAGCAAAATTTAAACAAAAACGCTATTTGAGGAGACACATGTTGAAACGCCATTCAGTGACGCATTCAACTTAGGCGAAAACTTCAAATGTTATTTTTGATGTGTCCATTTAGCATTCAGATACACGAGGGTTGTACTGTACGGGCTTGCGTCATATTGTATTCAGATAGATATAAAAGTGGTCCAGATTGGACATTTTTAATAGGAAACGTCAAGCTCAAAATCGAGAAAGACCCTCTATAGTGGCAAAAAGGTTGAAGCCCAGACAGCAAACAAAGTCTTGAAGAGGTCTTTTTTGAGTCTGCATTGCGTCTTAACGTCTGAAGACCAAAAAAAGACGTTTAGAAGACGTCCATAAGATGTCGTAAATTCAAATCTTAAAGACAATTGGGCCACACTATTTGGTACAGCTGGGCATGAAAGTGAATATGAATAATGGTTTATGTATTGTTACAAAATAGACCCGAATGATCAAGATAATTGGTAAGAATAAAATTAAAATGTACCTATTTACCTGATTAGGTGAATGGATAAAACACCTATGAGGAAACATAACAACCACCCTGTACATTATAAATCTTGCATTTGTTGAAAAATAAGAAAGCTATTACAGTGACTTCATAATCAGCTATACTATACAAACTGTGACTATATTATATACTCTCTACTTAGATCCAGGGCTATTTGCATAATAATCTATATATTAATTTTTTCTTTTAGTAAAATACGTTGTCAACTCGGATCTCACCGATCAAGTATCCCTGAATCTTCTAGGTAAAGGTTGTCTAAGCGAAAAATCAAGTGATAGCGGTGTGAGCAGCAGCTCTTTGTCTTCCACACTGAAAGATAGAGATAATCGACCGATAGGAAGTTTTCAGCATTTGGAACGAAGCAATATCTGTGCCAACATGTCCACGACTGCCAATAAACGAACATAATCAAAAAAAAAAAAAAAAACGTTGTTAGGGAAATTTGAAAATTATTAATTGTTAGATTTAGGGTTTTTTGAGACAGAGATATTTCTTGAAAATTTAATCTAATTGATTAAAGTTTCTAGAAAGCAATTTATTTATTAATTTGATAAATGTTATAAAAAAAAAACTATTCGTGATAGAAAACAAAATACATTTTAGATCTGCTTAAAAGAAATTTATTTTCCAAAACACATAAAAGAATTACACAAATAAATAAAACTATACTTATGTATTTCTTCTAAGCACACGCAAAAAATGTATTTCTGTAGATAAAAAAAATGTAAAACTGTTTGTAAATTATGTAAAAAAAAAATTATAATGTTTATGGCTAGTCTTCAATTCTAAAAGAAAAGTTTTCTGTAAACACTATTTAAGTACCTATGCTTTTTGGCCTTTCCTTTCTCAATCAAAAATCTCTATAATATAGTTGACTGAAAAAATGTTGTTAATAAATAGTTAATAAAATAACGGACAATGTATAAAAATAAAATAAATATAATAAGTATAAAAAGAGGCAGTTGATTTGTCATTGAATATTTTGTATTAATTTTCTGATTCTAAATTGAATAGTTCCATAAAAATATCAAATAAATCTACTTTTGACAGAGTTATAAAATTAAAAATTGAATAAATAAATGTTGACAAAATTTATAATTTTTTCACTCTGTTAAATGGAACCAATATCGAAATGTAATAAGCATTAAGATCGCTAAGTGTCAGTCAATAAAATAATTAGATGATTTAATAAATAAATTGGAAATATATGATTTTTTTTTTCTGCTTGTTTGCGCCGCTTATAAATTGAAATTTGAATCCTAACCATCAATGTGTCAATCCGCATTATCCAATAGAGACAGTTAGCGGCACGTTAGCAGCACCAGTTGGCAAGGAAGAGATGATGAGCAGCATTTTTTTTATTTTTTTGAATCTATGTAAGTTTGTTAGTTGTTACATTTGTTAGATGCCGTCATGGTCATTCAAGATGGAAATGCTCAACTCTTTAACGTTGAAATGGCAGAGTTGCAGTTAGAGAGTTTACCACCAAAGAATAATAACATTACGAGCAAAAAAGGATGTTAGAATACCACCTAATCACATAGGCGTAGTGAGCTGTTCGACAAGTGATAACAGCTATGAGGAAAATATTTTTGTGGATTTCCGACAATCCTATGAGCCCTTAAAGTAATCCGTCTTACCAAGGTATGTCGTCTCTTCTGTTGACGCAAGATTTCCTATTCTTAACACATCTGGCAACACCATTTGTTTTGAACGAAATCAAGTTATTGCCAGACCAACGCCCTGTATTGAGGATGATATACAAGCAAGTGTTAAAGTAGATATCACAAAGCTATCAAAATTTACAATAAAAGACCTAAAGGGTTATTTAACGGAAAATCTTTCTGAGAACGAGAAAAATAAATTATTGTTATTATTAAATAAATATTCGCGATTGTTTCGCTAAAAATATTCGTGAACTAGGTGATATTAAAAATGTAGAAATGTCCATTCATCTGACTGATGATAAGCCTATAACTTATCGACCCTATCGACTTTTGCTTCACGAAAGAGAGAAGGTACGTGACATGCTAAATGAATTGTTATTGTCAATTGGTATCATTCGGGAATCACAAGCGCCTTATTCCAGTCCCATTATTCTCGTAAAAAAGAAAAACGGAGAAACGCGCATGTGCATTGATTATCGCGCCATAAATGCTAAAACTGTGAGAGACTGTTTTCCTCTACCACGCGTTGACGATCATCTTGAAACATTGAAAGGATGTAAGTATTTTACCACGCTAGATATGGCAATCATCAAATAAGAATAGCTGAGGATTCAGTACATAAAACAGCATTCGTTACACCGGACGGGCAGTACGATCGAGTATCTTCGGATGCCATTTGGATAAGTCAACGCACCAGCCATGTTCCAAAAGACAATCAACCAGATTTTAGGCTCAATGAGGTACTCAACAGCCCTAGCGTACATGGACGACATACTGGTTCCATCTCCGAGTTTCGAATCCGGATTAATAGCTTTGGCGGACGTACTTGAAAAATTCAGAAACGACGGAGTTACATTACGTTTGGCAAAATGTAATTTTTTTCAAAATCAGATTGACTGGCTTGGTCACGAGATTAGTGCCAGTGGTATACAGCCGGGTACTACAAAAATCAAGGCAGTCAAAGATTTTCCAGCTCCCAAAAGATTGCACCAGGTTCGCCAATTTATCGGGCTATGCAGCTACTTTAGAAAATACATCAAAGACTTTGCACAAATTGCACGCCCACTGACGTCATTAACAAAAAAAGATGTTACTTTTGAATGGGGAGGACCATAGGACAAAGCAAAGTTTGATTTGCCTCACACTGAAAATCAGCCAATTAAGGATTTAATTTAATAATGTTTTAGATATGTTTGACGAGGAAACAAAAATTAAAATTAGAAATTAGTGCATAAATATTACAACAAACTTTGTTCCTTCTAATAAACCATTAAGTTTTCAAAAAAAAACATCTTATCAATTTGGCCAAAAAAACTACTAACTTTCTTAAAGAAAACAAAGATTATATATTGGTAATAAAGGTAACACAACAGTTATCATGAATAAATATGAATATATTGAAAAATCCTTGATGAATATGTTGATGGATAAAACTACATATAAAAAACTAAAAAAAGATCCAACAGTTACAATTCAGAACAAAAATAAAAAGATGATTGACACTTTTGATAAAGGATGGTTTTATTGGTGACGAACAGGGAAAAAAACTAAAAACAGGTGCTGCAAATCCTCCAAAGATCTATTTTCAACCTAAAATACACAAAAATAATATACCTTTAAAGATCTATTGTATCGTTTGTACTTGTAGGGTCATCTTTGTATTCTCTAACTGATTTTCTGGCCTCTGTTAAATTATGGTATGTTTGTCAAGAATAAAAGCTATGTTCGTAACTTTTTTGAGTTTGTTTCAAGTATCAGAGACGTTATATACTTCCAAATGACTATGAAATCATCTCTTTGGACGTGGTTGCGTTGTTTACTATTATGTTCCAACAGATATAGTGGTAAACATAGTCAAGAAGAAATGGAATCTTGTAGAAAATAGTGTAAAGATTCCTTTGGATAGAACTGTTAATGTATGTTTTTGATAATAATTATTTTCAGTATCAGGACAACTTTGATAAACAAATATATAGTCTGGGAATGGGTAATATTATTTATCACCAGTTTATTGTTCAGATTTAGTGATGCAAGAACTACAAAACCAATCTATTGAAAAACTCCCTTTTCAATTAGCGTTTTACAAAAGATACGTGAATGACATAATAACTGCAATTCCCAAAAATCAAGAACAAAAGCTATACTAGACATATATTTAATAGTTACCTTTCCAGAATCAGAATACAGTTTACAATAGAGAAAGAGAGGGGCAACAAGATAGCATGTCTTGATGTGCTTCTAATAATCATTAAACTGATTAAACAAAAACATAAATATTTTCTAAAATCTAAAAAAAATAAATCTAATTTTTGGCGTCAAAAATATACCTATTACACTTAGAAGTACAGTAAAATACAGGATCAGGCTGGCTTATAGCAATTATCTCCAGGAGGTTATTCAATCGGGCTTACAGAGTATTCCTAAGTTGTTTTGGTCATACCTAAAAGGACTCGCCAGATATTCTTCAGGAGATGATAAATAATGATAAAACCTATGTGGGCTCTCAGCGGGTGGCGGATGGTTTTGCTGATTTCTTCAAGTCTGTTTAGATAAATGACAATGATGTTTCATGTTCCTCTAGTGCCCCAAGATATTTCTTTTGTGAGAAGTCTATCTCGACAGATGATATAGACATGGCAATCAAAAGGCTCAAAGGAAACAAGGCAATTGGTTCAGATGGAATACCAGTCTATATTCTAAAGGGCTATAGCCAACATCTATTGAAACCGCTGCAAGTTGTATTTAATCTAATTATAAAAACATCAAAATTATCCAGAAAAATGGAAAATAGGTAAAGTCATTCCGATTTTTAAATCTGGTGTTAGACTGGATATTAAAAACTACCGCCCCATATCTATTCTGAGTTCAGTTTCCAAAGTATTTGAAAAGATTATATTTTAATTGTTATTTAGTGAAATTTCTGGAAAAATTACCTCCTGTCAGCATGGTTTCTTCCCTCATAGGTCAACATTCACCAACTTATTAGCCACATTTACTCAATGTGCATGAAGCCATAAATAATAAATCGCAGGTTTGACGTTATTTACACGGACATGGAGAAGGCATTTGACAAGGTCAGACACTGCGTAATAATTAAGTCTCTCCAGAATATGGACGTGCCTTTGTATTTGATTGGGCTAACTCAGTCATATCTTAGTAACAGGTTTATATATATGTTGAAGTTAAAGGTTGCAAATCACGGACCTTTAAAAGCACCTCTGGTGTGCCTCAGGGTTCTAATTTGGGCCCTCTCCTTTTCTTAGCAACAATAAATAATATTGTTGGAAACCTGGAAAATGCTGTGGCCCTCATGTTCGCCGATGATTTCAAATGTTTTTTCCAGATTAATTCCGTTGAAGACTGTGTGCAACTGCAGAATGATTTTTGTAGTGTGACTAATTGGTGCGAAAAGAATAGCTTTAAAATGAATATTGCAAAATGTACCTGTATGTCCTTTACCCTTAACCACAATGCTATAAATTATGACTATAAATTAAATGGTACTAATCTCAAACGAGTTGGCCAACAGAGAGATCTTGGAGTGGTGTTTGATTCTAACTTGTCGTTCTCTGGTCATATGGCATCTAAAATTAAAAGTGCACAGAGGGTGGCAGGATTTATCTCGAGAAACACAAAAAACTTTAGAATAGAGGTGAGTCTACATCTTTTTGATAGTTTGGTGGTTCCCATTTTGGAATATGCAAGCATAATTTGGCTCCGCAATACAATGTGTGGGTTACATTAATAGAAAGGGTACAACGAAATTTCCTCAAATGCATGTATTTTCGAAAATTTGGTATTTATCCGCAAAGAGGTTGTGATCAGGGCTACCTATACTGAGCATTTTTGATAGGCTTTCCTTGAGCAAAAGAAGGGATAGGGTGATTTTGTGCACAATGTTCAATATTTTGAAGGGAATAATTGATTGTCCAGAAATGCTTGCCCAGTTACCATTTGCAATAAATCGATTCAACTCGCGAAATCAGAATGTTTTTTATTTGGCATATCCTCGTACTAATCTGTACAAAAATTCTCCCATATATAAAATGTGTCAGGTTTTTAATTTGTATGCTTTCGATATTGATATTGACACAATAAATATCAAAGCTTTTAAGAAAATTATTGATGAAAAGCTACAAATGTGAGTATTGTTTTTGTTTGTTTTTTTTTTTTGAATTGTTTTTTTTTTTTTACTTTATTATATTGTGAATCTTTTGATTAGAATTAGATTTAAAGTTTACTTGTAATAGATGTAAGTTTGTATCTGTGATTCGCCTCTTGGCTGTTGATACTTGATGAATAAATAAATAAATAAATAAATACATAAATAAGACAGACACAAATTATAGAAACTGACTGGTAGGTACCATATAAATCAGCCTTTCTAGAAAGATTTTTTTAATGATTCATCTGAACACCCACTCAAACATAAGATAAATATCATTAATAATCTTAAAGTAGAGCAATGTCACTGTCATCAAATAAGTTCCATAAAGAAAATCTAAATAAGTACCTACCTACAAAGAAAGTATAGTAGG